TTGTTGTTGTTTATATTATTTGTTTGTAGTGTTTTTTATATTTTCTCTTCCTTGAAAATTCTGGCAAAATGATCGTCGGAAAGAGTTCTCGGTATTGATTAATACTAATAATTTGACATATGTATGTACATAAGATAATGAGGTTTGTGTATTTATTTACATTTTTTTAAGTATTTTTTTAAGTGAAGGATTGTTAATCAGTTTCCTTTATTATTATTGGTGTTACTTTGTTATTCAGCCATTTTTGTTTTTTTTTTTTTGAATTTATAAAAATAAAATAAAATAAAAAAAAAATTTCTATTCTAGAAATTTCATTTTTTTTTGTTTTTTTTTCTTATGCAAAATAGAAGAATTTTTATTTTTTTTTTTAATTGTAAAAAAAATAAATGATTTAAATATTATTATTTTTTTTATTAATTAATTAATAAAATAATTCTTTATGTAATCTCAGTTAATTGATTGATCAAAATGATTTAGTTATATTCTCATGATGGAAATTTTTGTTTTTTTGAATACAGAAGTTAAAATTTTTTTGATTAACATAACGAAAATCTCTGGAAAATCTAAATTTGTTGTAATTCGTTGGAATATTTTTCTTCACATTACATCCTTATATCCAAAAGATAGTTCATGGATAATATCATAGATCATTTTACAAAGGAGATATTATTAATATTCAAGATTTTATTTGATGAAAACTGACGTTAAAGAAAAAAAATAAAAATCATTAAGATGTATTAAAAGAATTGTTATTGATAGAAATTAACTTTGAATCATTACCGTTGACTTCAAAATCTTCTTATTATTGAATGAAAGCAAGAATTATCACCATCAACACAAATAACGGAAATATCTAAATCGTTTTTAACTAACTCAACAAAAACTAGAAAAACGAAATCGAGTGTCTCAGATGCAAGAGATTAAGTTTTGGAAATTTCGATACTTTTAAGTTAGAGATAATGAAGCAAGATCAAAAAAGAACCAGCAAAATTCTATCTGAAGAAACAAATCAAGAAAATAAATATTGGCATTTTCTGTTTGGAATTTTTTTTTTATAAAAAAAAGTTATTAGCTATAAAAAATGATTACTTTTGCTAATACTTTATATTTTAATTAATAGTAACCTGAAGATATAATAAATATTGCTATTTAAAAAAATCGGGCGTCAAAAAATAAATGTTATTATTTTCAAATAAATAATTTAATAAAAGAAAGAAAAATTTATTTAGAAAAAATATTTATAATTCTTAGTTTTTATGATTCACGAGAATAAACGTTATTTTTTTTATAACAAAATTTTTATTAAAAAATATTAATTATTTAAGAATATAATGATGAATCACATTTTCAAATTTCAGAAATATGAACAATATCGTATTTACAATTATTCACCTTTTTTGGATTGTATTTCAATCAACTTTTGAAATTTATATAAATAAAAATTAAATATAAAAGATCGAAAAGCAAAGCGACATTACTAAGCAACACAAGAAATTATTTATAAAAGTAAACTGTTTCCATTTTACAATCCACTTCTCTGTATGTTAATTAATTAAATACATATTAATTAAAACCATTTTCGCTTATGTTGAGTATGTTGTGTATTTTGGATTATTAATTTGGTAACCATTACGAATATTATATAAATATGATACAATTATTTTCTTCTCTTTATTTCTTGGGCAAAAAAAAATGGTAACTAAAGTTTACACAGAATTATTGATTATGATTTTAAATAATGTCCTAGCGACTTAAGATTTATCTTCATCATCACTAATTAACCGAATCTGGCGTAAAGTTACTATACCTGAACTTTGGAAATTACCATTTTGTGAAGAATATTGTATGGATGTTAAGTTATATATCACATATGGATTCTCATAGAACTTCACTTATTCAAAATGGATTTGATTTATCATCATCACCACCTCGAGCCACTTTTAATTATCCATCTTTCGTTCTTAAATTAAGTACAATTATTAGCAAAACTTATTAATGCTCAAAAACGTTATCAAAATCTATTAATTGGTGCTATAAATATTATCCATATTTAAATTATAATTCAAAATTTAGGGCTATCATCCAAAAAGAAATATTTAAAAGTTTCGTTTGAAAAATATGCTTTTCTGATTTCATTCGAAAATCACCACCAATTGGGCCATTTACTTCACTCCACTCCAAGAACTTTTTATTGAAGATTGCTATGTTTTGCATAAATCGGATTGTTTATTTTCTGCTTCATAATTTACCCGATTAAGTAGGTTTCATTCGAGTTTTCATGATTATCCTCAAGAACATCCAATACTAATTTAAGAAATATTTGTCTAAAATATATCCCACAATTATATCTAATTTATTTTCAGCCATTTAAATTATTGAACAAAGATTACCAAATTAGTTCTATATAATTTAAGTCTTGAACAGGTCAGGTAATAGCAATAATTTTAATGAACTAAGGTTTTCATTTAATTCTCGAGAAGAAATTGATGTCAATGATTTATTATGTCAATTGGCCAAAAAAGTACCAGAATCATTTGAAACTATTGAAATTAGAATGGGAACATTTAGTGCTGATAGTTTAAGAAACTTTTTTGAAGGGTGGCGTTGTAAAGGAAGAGGAGAGAATAAAGGCTTATTGTAAAACAAGCACAACTATTTCATTAAGTGATGAAAATTTTAAAGTTATTAAAAAATATGAAGTTCAATTTGATATAGAAGAATAATATTCCAGGTAATATTCTGAATAATTTTTTAATATAATATAAAGCAAAAAATATGTTCAGTTACGTTGTGCTGAAAATGAAAATAAAAATTCGGTTATATTATAACTAAACGAAGTGAGTCATTTCATACATTGCGCTGAATATAAGAATAACACATGGTATAAAAAAATTATTTAAGAATCGTGACTCAGAAAAACCGGAATATTATGCACTAGAAAGATTTTCAAGAGGTGGGAACAGTATATAAGATACATTGTTCAGAATTAAAGTTGAAACTTTGCTTTGTGACAATGATATTGTCAATTTTCGAACATAAAACATAAAAATAAACAAAAAAAGAAATACGGAAGCGATTTGGCGATAAAATAATTACTAAAAAAAAACGAATAATAACTAATCAAGTAATCGATTATAATTTTTATTTTTTACTTTTTATTTATTTATTTATCTTTTTATTTTTTCATTATTCCTTGTTTAATGTAATTAAATAAGTTCATATAAATATTTGGTATTTCCAAATTGTTAATATACAGAAAGCTAAAAATTTAAGAGAATAAAATGTCCCTGACACTGAATTCTTGTTTATTCGATTAAATTATGCTGAATCAAATTAAATTATGAGAGAGACAACGAAGCACTCCTCAGTTGTCTCTAAATATTAATGAGTTACTTGACAATTATGTAATATTAAATAAATACTCCATAATCATTCATTATAATAGTTATTAATATTTAAAAGTCAATTGGCAACAATTATTTATTAATTTTAACGATAAAAGCTATATGATATTTTAATAATAAATTTAAGCTATAAAAAAATAAAATCATATAAAACTATGTCAAAGCTTATCAAGCAAATATTACTTAATAAATTTTTTTCGTTATCAAATTATTATCAAAAAGTTTCATAATTTTATATACCGTACTGTTGATTTTCAGTACATGGTATTTTTAATATTTTCAATATTTTATATTCAGCATAACAAAATAATAAATTATTCAATAAAAATAATCACGCTTTCTCTGTGCATTTTACAATAATTTTTTTATTCCTCCTCTTTACAACGAAAAATTTTCTTAAACTATCAACACTAAATATCCTCGTTCCATTTTCAATATTTCAAGTGATTCGGAAATATTTTCGACCATTTGACATTTTTGATTTCTTCTTTTTTTTTTATCCAAAGAATAAAGCGAAATTTTTTTTGATCAAATAATCGTATCACATTTATATATATAATACTCATGTAACAGCTCTGGTGTATGATTATCAAAAATACATAAAAATATCTTTCCGTTTATCACAAATCACTTCATGAACTATGTATATAATCAGAAATGGGGAAATTTTTTATGTTTTTGTAATTAATTTACTCAATCCAAAATTTGATATATATATGTGTTTGCTTTTCAAACTATATTTTCGGGATGAAAATCACGATGAACTTTATTAACTCTTGAAAATTCATAAACTAAATTTTATTAAAAATAATATAATTAGGTATTGAGGAAATCTTTGGAAAAGTTGTTTACAATTTATTTATTAAAATCTTTGACAAATTTAATATTTAATTTCTAATTTATTTTTTTTTACTTTAAATACTTTAAATACTTTAGAAAATGGTTCTGAAGCATTTAATGATGTTGGGATAATCGATAGATGGCTTGAATTCAATTAATTTAATTAATTATTTTATGTTTACTTTATTTACTCTATTAAATAATCACATTATTTAATTAAATGACTAATTTATTCAGTATATTTTTTAGCTTTTAATAGTGATGAACTGGTAAAATCAATACATGTGATAGTTGTTTATATTTTATTTTATTTTTTAGTTATACGGTAAATTTAATAACGATAATACGTGTTTATAAAAAAAATAAATAATCAGTTAAGCGAAAATAATGTAATTATGAGGTTAAAATCAATATGATATTTTAATAAATAATAAATTTAAATTTAAGATATAAAATAATAAAACCATATATAACTATATAAGATCTTATCATACAATATTATTTAATTTTTTTTTTCAAAATTATTATCGAAAATTGGATGAATTTTATATTCCATTGATTTTTTAGGCATAGAATTTTTTAATATTTAACGGGGTAAAAAAAAAAAAATAATAAGAAATACTTCGTAATGGATTTGATATTAAATTTAAAATATAATTTGAATCATTATTTGGAATATTATTCTTCTAGATCAATTTGAACTCCATATTCTTCAATAACCTTAAAATGTTCATCACTTAATGTAAATAGTCGCTCTTGTTCCATACGTCTCACAATAATCTTTCTATTCCCTCCTCCTCCTTTACGACACCACCCTTCTAAAAATTTTCTTAAACTATCAGCACTAAATATTCCCATTCTAATTTCAATAGTTTCAAGTGATTCTGGCACATTTTTGGCCATTTGACATAATAATTCATTAGCATCAAACCCTTCTCCTCCACAATCAAATGAAAATCTTCTTAATTCATTAAAATTATTATTAAATATTGCTATCACATGTTCAGGACGCAAATCATGTAATGTTAACTTGGTAATATTTGTGCAATAATTTAAAATTGCTAAAAATGTATCTGTGGTAAGTGAATTTAAATAAACATCTCTTAATTTTGTATTGGATGTTTCAAAAATTTTTATAATAAAATCTTGAGGAAATCTATCATGTATATGCCTAAAATGAAAACTACTTAATTGAGGAAATGATGAAGCGAAGAATAAATTATCCGATTCATGCAATCCAAAACAATTTTCGATATAAAGATTTTGAAGTGAAATAAATTGTCCAATTGGTAATGATTTCCACTCGGAATAATAAAAACTTACTGATCTTAAACGAAAACTCTTTAATGTTTCTTTTTGACTAATGATAGATAATAATATGGAAAGATAATCTATTTTATAGTCAGAAACAACAATTGATAAATCTTCCAAATATTTTTGAACACTAATAAGTTTTGCTAATAATTTCGCCTGAGAATATGAGTTAAATTCCAAATCCATATTTAAAATATTATCACAAACTAATGTTAATGATTCATATAATGGAAATATAAGTTCATTATCTTCTATCAACAAAGTAAAACTTTCTAATTTCTTAATTACTTTCGGAGCACTAGGTAACTCGAGAATTGAACCAATTAAATCATTATAGATATGAACATTTACAATAAAGAATTTGACTCTTGTCAGCTTAAAAGAATCCAAAAATGAACAACGATTTATTATTAATTTACATATTTCAAGAAATAATATTCTCGATTTTGTGATGATGATTTCGTTATTACTATTGTCATCGACCTCTGAATATCTGGAAATAAAATAAATTAAATTATCAGTTCTAAGTTTATGAGTAAATGATGGATAATCAAAAATGGCTTGAGATGGTGATGATGATAAATCAAATCCATTTTGAATAAGTAAAGTTCTAGCTTGAGTATCCATACAAGATAAATAAGTTCGAATACATAATGCTTTCTTCCTCAAATTATTATAATCCATACAATCTTGACCCAAAGGTAATTCCCAAAGCATAGGTATAGTAACTTTACACCAAAATCTATTAACCAGTAATGATGAATATAAATCTTGAGTTGAAAAAGGTGATTGAAGATTATTTAAAATTTTAAATAATATTTCAGTGGGAATTTTAGTTGCCATTTTTTTTGTCTAAAAGATAAGAAAAAATGATCGTGTTACATTTTATATATAATATTTATAATTTAGTGTGTAACTTATCTGATGTAATAGTTCACAACATTCAGATTTATTATAATAGGAAATATTTATCAATAAATAGTCTAGTTTGAAGAGTTTAGGAAAATCGCTCCTTTTCGGAAAAAAGTAAATGATCTTCGGAATATTTATTTATTTACTAATGATGTTATTAATTCTTTTGTTTCTTTTACTATAAAAAAAAATTAAAAATAGAAATAAATGAGATACTTGTTGAATTCTAAATACTGAGAGCATCAACGTCAAAATATCATCAACAATTAATTTTTATAGTCATAGTTGTTAAATAGAAAATTATTATTAAATTATATATCAAATTTATTTGCAAATAAATAAATACATAAAAAATTCAGTAAATATTATTGTCATTATTATACTAACCCTCCAAATTAATCTATAAAACTATATCCTCATTATATTATAAATTATAACCTGTAATCACTTATCTAAAATTTATGAGTTTTGATAAATTTTATTATATTGTAGTCCCAAATAAAATTTTAATCTTCTGGTGGTTTTACCTTTCATGAACAAATGATCAATGCATATTTGGTTGGGTGAAAATCTCAATTTTATTAATCTTTAAATGAAGCAATAAAATTAGATAAAATTATTGGATTGACTTTTCAAATTATCGATCATTTTTTTCAGAAAATAAATTAAAAATTGTAGAAAATATTAAAAAATCAAAAAAAAAAATAAATAAAATAGATTATAATACAGACCGGGTAACAAAAAAACAGGAAATTTTTTAATGAGTATGGCAAAGAATATTCGTAATAGAAAGGCATGAGAATTGTTGTAAATCATTTGACTATGAATTTATTATCAAAAGTTTTTGTAGAAGTATATTTGTGATAAGGAAATAAAGTGAAAAAAAAGAAGTAAAATAATAGAATAAAGAAGAGAAAATCAATTAAAATAGCGAATAACTATTAGTTTTCCTGTTCCAATTGTCTTTGTATGTTCACAGTGATATCTTTTGAGAATTTCCCGAAAATATCAAATATGTAATCTTGTACAATATCTAAGTTGAAATCTCCTTAAACATCATATTCACTAAATCATCATCTTGAGAGTTATACTCTCGAAACTGATTAGGAAGATTTTCTTCAAGAACCACAAATTCTCGTCCTCTAATATACTTTAAAGTATCATCGATTGCATCCGCATTTATTAGAACCCATTTATGCAAATTAGTGTAAAAGTTTTCTGGAATCTTATAACACAGGTCAAATACAAAAGATATGCCGTACCGAATTCCGATTTTAGCTGATTATAATATAGGATGCAATGGGACAGTTGATTGTTACCGATTTTTAGCTGATCTATAGTATAGGAATTACCATGATTCTTTTGTATTTGACTAGTATATCCTGATGAACTATAAAAAAAGCAATAGAAGTCACCACTAAACCGACGTCTTTGTCGATGTCCTCTTCCACTGAGATAGAATAGAATTTATTGGGATCATCCAAAATTTCTTTTATATGCGCGATCACTTGTTTAATATTTTTATTAAAAGATTTATATTTAACATAATAGTAATAAATCGGAACCAGAGACTTTCGTATCAAAAGAATAATTTCCATTGCAGGCTTTATGTTTATATTTTTATAATGCATATGATTATCTATAATCGTTGCATATAAATAATCCCCTTTAATTAATTCGTATTATCCATTATTAAGTATATTCGAAAGTTTCTCTTCTATAACAGATAAAAAACTATTTGTTTTAAAATAGTATAATAATTCGTATATTCTATCTTCTTCTATCAAAATCCAAGCCATTTCGTTTAACAATTCATCTTTTAACCTATAACCTGATTGAATGATAACCAGACATTAATAGTTTTTTTTTGAACTAGAGTTCTCCGACGAAATTAAATAGTTTTCGGTATATCAAAAACAAATTTTAGAAAACCATTCACTTCATTGATTAAAATATGGACTGTCAAAACATAGAAATAATATTCATAATGTGATAGTTTCAAAACTTTATACGGTTGATCTTCAATGTAAATATTTTTATGTTTTCTATCATGTTGTAAATATGGTTAATAACTAAATTACAACCTTGTGATTTCGAAGTACTTTCAAACTTGCGCAATTTCTATTAAATGTTGCGCAATTTCCATATAGTACTCTCAAACTTGCGCAATTTCCATATTGTGCTTCATGCATGGGGTATTTATATAAAATTATCTGAGGTTTTTTAAATCTATTTTAGGCATCGAAGGAAAAGATTTTCATAAGCTAAACTAAAAAAATTACGGATTTCGTCATGGTTGCATGATTAAAAAAATATAAAAGGAATTAAATACTATACTTTCTCCTAAATGGACCTTCTAATACGGAATTTTTGGTGATGTATAAAAACAAATATAAAAAAGGAACTTTTATACTGTGACTTCTCCTAAACAGAAATTTTATACTGCGACTTCTCCTAAACAGATATGAAAATTTTTCCGATAATCCTTATTTTGTTTTAAATATAAAAATACATGCAAATTGAATTTTGAATTTTGTTGTCTTTGACCTTTACCTTGTCTATGTGACATTATTTTCTGCCTTTTCCATTTTTAAACAAGAAAAATCGCCGAAGGCCAAATACAATCACAACAACCAAATTTAATACACACTAAACATTAGACGTGATCTTTTCGATTAAAATATTCTCTCACGAAAAAATATGTCAACGATAATTTGTTCAACCTATAAAATTTATTATTTGCACATGATTTCTATATGATATGTCTAAACAATAATAAAATTATTATTTTTTTTTTGCATCGACAAGGGATAATTCCCTCCGGTTAAAATTAGCCTTACTCTAATTTCTACTTTCAAATAAACGCGGGAAATTGCTTACTTTTTTTATAACATGAAACGTTATGAAGCACTATTCTAGTTAAAAAAACGACGAAGACAACCAATTCGAGATGTAAATTTACACATGTTGGAACAATGGTAGTGTGCTGATGTCTTGTAATAGAAAGAATAGATGCAACCATTATGAAACTATATTTTTCACTTGACAAGTGCATTTCATAAATTTCATTATTTTTTTTTGAATGAATTTTTATCAACGATCATTTAACTAATCTTTTACTATTCATATCTTTATTAAAGACTTTTTTGTTCAGTGTGAACTGATGCATTCTAAAATTTTCGTTAAAAAATATTATTTTATTTTTATATTTATTAGTTGCATCTAAATTATATGTACACGATCTTTAAATATTTTAAATAATTTTTAAATATATTTTTTATAATTATTTAATTTTTAATTTTCGTGTATTCATTTAGCTTTTGCAAAAAAATGATATATATGTATTGTGAATGCTCAGCATTTACTCAGTACAATTTAAATTTATCACAGCAAATTTTTATGTATCCACTTAATTTAATTATTAAGATATATAATTTAAAATCTCTAGCTAACTTTTGATTATATAAATTATAATTGGATGCCTTCTAATTATTGATAAGTTCTTAGAACATATGAACCATGGAAAATACCAATCACTTTAGCTAGGACCGAAATTCCTTCAAATCTAATTATTTTTTCACTAAAATTATTTTCCCTCAAAAATATTTTAATAGCAACTACATCAACTTAGGTATTCTTGACAATTATACTATCTTTTTTTAAACAGTCACCTATGGCTGTTAATTTTTGCTGTAGCCTTAAAAGAATTTTGACGTTTTCTATAAAATTGCAGTAATCAGTAAGATTTAGGTGATAATTCTAATGTTTTAGTTGTGGTGCATTTTTCATTCTTTATTATGTTAGTTGGTTTACTAGCTTCGAAACTATGTTTAAAATTAAATATTTTAATCAAAAATCCCTCACTATCCTAAAACTTGCCAATTCTTCTTGGAAGGTACGGTAAGCTTCGCTGACGATGCTAAATTATCAAAGATTTTCTCACAAATAATTTTTTTATTGTCTATTTTTTTTTAAAGAAAGGTTATACTTGAAGTTGCTAATTACAACATTTAATTTATGATCAAAATCTAGGACAAGCTTGCGTGACTGTTTTGAATAATGTATATCAGTTGGACTATTAAAATGAGAACACAGTAGAAATTGGAGCATGCACCTCCACCCCATGTGTTTAAAAAACAATCATTCTTTTCATTATGAATCTGAAATATTTTAGATTTTAGAATTATTATTTTCAGAGTAAAAAGTCCATTTTCTGGAGGATATTCAGTTGAACTTAGTAGTTTTCGATTCATTGCCACCTCCTCTATTATCCAGATATTTCAATTGAAAAATATTTTGTATCCTCTTTGAAGTGAAGATTCCACGAGAAACCATAACTGTCTTGGAAAAAAGGAGTGACCTGGAGGATGGGTTTCGAAGAGATGAACCATGATCGCCGCCCAATCATCTATATAATTTCCAGTGTTCGAAATTTTGTAAGGGACTCGGTAATAATACCAAATTCTTTCCACCAAAAGAAATCTCAAATTTGTTGGGAATTATTTCATTATCAAACATTTCATTTATTTTTTTTGTAAAAAACTAAGACGAATTTTTGAAATCAATGCTTTGTAGATATTTAAAAATTATGGAAATGATGTCAGTCCATGTCATGTATCAATTATCCAAGAAAAAATTTATCATCCTAACGGTTGTGTATGCATGTGATCTGTAATGCAATTATTATTGGTCAAAATTTGTGTCGCCGGCAATATTAATAATTCCCATAAATGTGATACGTTATTTTTTTAAAAAATTTATTTATTAGGCAAAAAAATGGCAACTCAGAATTATTGATTATGATTTTAAATAATCTTCATTCAAATAAAGATTTATATTCATCAATATTAGTTAATCGAATCTGGTGTAAAGTTACTATACCCCTATACTTTGGGAATTCTCTTTTGGTAAAAAATGTCGTGATAATCATGTGACATATTAACCAGCAATCCATAATAATTGATGATCTAGACTTTCTGCACCATAAATATTTTATTATCCATGTGTTATTGATTCTGAGAGTATTATTATCATGTGGATATAATTAAATAACGGTCTGAAAAATTTTTCCATTTTGTTGTTCGATCAACCGATAAAATGTCATGCATTTGAATTCCAAAAAAAATAATATAAAACCATACGGAGTGAAGTTCATATAATTCATTCCGCCTATGAATTAATATGAAGAATGCAAGATTTTAAATGTTAATAAAAAGAAATTCTGTTAATCAATTGAAAGATATAAATTCAGCATTTTTTCTTTCGAGTCAATAAAATTTTCTGACATTAAAATAAAATATCATTATTTGAGCCGTGCTCATATTATTATACCAATCACATTAATTCCTTCACTTTTAATTGAAGCAATACAATCAATCATCATGAAACTCATAACTTTTTTAACCGTCTTTTTAGTATTCATTGTGATCATCGCTCAAGCAACTCCAACTCCTAATATATACGAACGTACCAAAAAAGAAAAAATAGGAAAAAATTTATACCTTGATGGTGTAAGTTTTCAAGATTCATACCGTAATGTCGCTACCAAATTGATAAAAGTCCACCATCAATACAATTCACTCTTTTCTTCGTTCGGCGACTCTGTAAAAGCCGCCGCAAAGAAGGATAAATTACCTGTACCAGAATTTTTCACTGAATGGAATGATAATTATGTTGAAAAAGCAAAAGAAGCACACCAAATCTATTTAGTTTTTATCGCGAAACTTGAATCATTTAAGAAAAAGCTTGATGAAGCATATAAAGGCAAATAAATAATTTTTTCAGCTGACACGGTACGCAATGTTATATTTTTTAGTACTATACTAGTAAACAGTATAATTATAACTTTACCCAACCCATTATAACTTTACCCAACCCATTACAAATTATACATACTATTTAATTAATAATAATTTAATATTTAATGAATTATGTTAATAATTAATAAAATTAATAAATAAAAATAATTTCTATCGTTTGAGATCAAATTTTGTATGATTTTGTTATTATTTTATAAAACTATAAAGTATTAGACTTCTAATTCAGATTTGAGTTCTGGAAGATTCAAAAAATAATCAAATGGTCAACACTAACGTGATGCGATGTAAATGCGCAATCACTTTCGCCGCAACCATTGCATTGAACTTCTATTAAAGATGCATTCTTGATTGTTCATCTCTTTTTTTTTTAAAAAAAAAAACATTTATCTAACAAATCATGTCATTAAAAAGTTATTCCCTATGTAATTTCATTATATTACAAGTAAAAAGCGAAACAAATAATAAAAAAAACTACAGATCAGATCACTTAATGTACTAATTACTTTGAAGGTAGAAATTTCTATGAAGCATCATATATTTTTACATTATGTGAGTGACGTATTATTCGTCATTTCTCATCAAATCCTCTTCTTATTTCCTGTTCACTGCTATTTACCAAAAAATAATATACAAAATTGTTTTATAACAAAAATATCACATTCTTTATGATCTTTATTATGAAGAATAAAGTGAATAAGTTTCTCGCCAGATGAGAGCCTAATAACGTAACATTTATTTACTTAATTATTTTCTTATTACAAAAGTAATTGATTTATCTTCTTGCCATGACATGGTATGTTAATGTTCTAAGATATTGAGTAAATTAAATCAAATATAAAATTTATCATAAAATTGTAGTTGTTTAATTTCTTCGTCGGATTCAAACTGATATACATAACGTAAAAAAAATAAATAAATAAATTTGGGTACATAATATTTTGCATTATCAGAGAGGTTAAGGAGCAAGTGCTAATCTCTTTTAGGGATTGTTTGATGTAAAAAGCTTGAACTCGCATTCAATCAGATGAAAGATATATTCTATTGTAGGTCCGTTGATACATTAATATGCTATGGTATATTGGAAAATCGTCTTATGAACCACGTAGTGAAGAAATTAGCCTTCTAATTGCAGATGAGGATAGACGACATCACCCACTAACGCCAGAAAAAAAATATTTAATAAAAAATTGTAATTATTTAATGGAACACCTATCTTTTTTTTATATTTTAATATGTTTTAAAGGGAAAAAATAATTGATTACGCAGTAGGTTTAGGATAAATGAAGATGTAATGAAAACGAAGGAAAATATTCTTTGATATGAGTGGATAATGAAATATAAAAAAGGGTGAACGAATGTAATTTCAGAACAGTATTAAGGAAGATTTGAAGTAGATGTGATAAATGAAGATGTAATGAAATCGGGCGAAGGAAAAATTCTTGGCTTGAGTGGATGAAAAAGGCGAATGATTATAATTTCGGATTTTTTTATTTTTTTATCACAGATCTCGGCAGATTCAACTATTAAAGTATAAAATAAGCCGCTTAGAAATAATAAATTTGATTTTTGGATAAAAAGTCTAGCCAAAGCCAAGTAGAGAGGTAGTTATCCGTAGCAATCTGAATTAATTCATATTTTATCATATTTTCATATTTTTAATATCAAATACTTACTAGATCTTTTATTCCCACTTCGTAAAATATTTTATTTTTCATTTCCAACGAAATATTTTGTTTATCAATTAAATTAAAGATAGTAGGGTGTGGCTGTGGAAGTTTTGAAGTATAATGATTCTGAAAATAAATTAATCATAAACGAAGCAAATACATAAATTAATAAGTTTATGAATGCATTAAATATATTAAAATGGTTGTAATATTTCTCAATTCAAATAAATACAATTATCTTTACTTAAATTTTTTTTTGACTTAATATAAATGTCATTGTTATTTACATACAGTTGATTTGATTACAATTCCGTTTATTATGACCTATACACTACCACAATGACCACATTTGTATTGTTTACTATTGTCCGTTGGTATTGCATTTGATTTTTCATGAAATGTTTGATTCTTTTATTCTTTTAGGACGTCCTTTAGATTTTGTTTATTTATTAGGATTTATAAGGATCAAGGAACGGTCTCCTTTATCTGATTCTGAATTCTCTATATTTTTGCTTGCATTTTCGCTGACACTTTCACTTTTATTATTTTCTTCTTCATTTTCATTATTCAAATAATTCTCCAAAATATATATTATATTGCATCACTATTTTTTATTGCTTTCATGGTAACTTTATGTGCCAACCCATTGATTTTTCCATATAATTGTATATCTGTGAGATGTTCGTGTTGGGAAATAGAATCATGCATCGTTGTTTGTTTAACTGCAGTTAAAAATGGAATACTTGATTCTAGAATAATTGGTGTAATTTAGTTTTCAAGTTTGGTGCTACTAGGAAAGGTTCTTTTCTTGATCTTTATTTTTTGTAATACCAACGTAAAGGGATAAGTCTTAACAGCAGTGGAAATGTATTATGAAAATCAATTTCATAGTAAAAAAATTGTGTAACCATCATCGAACATTTTCACTCATATAAAAAGTCAATAAAATTTCTATATACTATGCTTATATAAACTAATTAAAGTGATCGAACGTAATGCTTTTGACCAATTTTAATCATTTTTATTTCTCTAAAATTTAGTTTTCCCACTTAAAATTTATTAGAAACTTTGTCCAAAATACTATTCTTTTTTCAAGATCTTCATAAAACTAGAAATAAATATGAAGTTTTGACAATAGAAATATATGTAATTCCACGAGAGAAAAAAGGTTTTCTAAGGTCAAAAAGGAAATTAATTAGTTGGTTTTTGTATAAATGCAAAAAAATTGAATTTTTATTCGTAATTAATAAGAAAATTTTTATTTTCTTTCAAGATCTAAAAAGAAAAGGTCACTTGAAAACTATTAATTTGCTACATATATTTAGTTTGATATTTTATAATATTTATTTTGTAATATTTATTGACATTAATATTTTTTAATTATTACTTATTATTATTAATAAAAAAGAGTTAATAATTTTCATATATCAATTATTAATTTATTTTTATTCTTTTGGAATTTTCTTTTCTTTTCTTTTTTCATAACCCCATGCATCTCTAATCATTTTTTTTGTCCAACCATCCCAATAAGTTAATAGATTTGACAAAGTGGAATCAATTACAGTATCAGAAGGTCTTACATCATATGCAAATAAAGTTTCTAAAATATCTTTTTCTTCTTTTGATGGATAATGTCGTGTTATTTTAATTTTTTTTGGTGATTCCTGTTCATTTACAGGAATAATTTCACTTGATTCGAATGTTGGTAATTCATTTTTTTCTTGTATTAAATTTTCATTGGGTGGATTATTAAAGGGATTGGTACGTTTTTTGATATTTTTTTTTGATTTTTCTTTTAAGTCTGCAACCTTTGTAACAACTATTCCTTTTGCACCTCTACCTTTAGTATCAATTGCTTGTAAGCATAAAATCTCTTGTTGAAAAATCTTATCCAATCGTACAATACCATCTTGATAACATCCATACAATTTTTCAAATCCTTCTGTTGTTAATTGATTACAATTTTGAAATAATGGATGGTAAGTTCCATTTTCCATTTCAAATGCTTCAAGTAATTGATTAATTAATTTCCATAATACTTCATGGCGTTCTTTAATAGCTCGTGTAGTTGTTGATAATACAATATCATCAAGAAACTCATCTAATAAAAGATTCATCCATTCTTTTTCAGATTGTGCAGCTTTGATCTGACGTTTCAAATTTTTTTCATCAACTACATTACCAGTAATATTTTGTTTGATGAATTTAACTCCAAAAGTTTCTAATGCCTCATCAAATGCAAAGTAATGTCCATTTTGTGTCAAATTAACTGAACTTGCATATTTCAATAAGGTTTGTATTTTTGGATTTTTAGCTATAATAGCAAGAAAATGAATAGTTGAACGGGTGTAATTTATTTTACCAGCAATAGGAAATAGAGACGAAAATGCTGATAAGCATTGTATTTGCAATTCATTGTTTTCTGTACGAATACCAGTACGATGTCCTTTCCAATAACTAGTCCATTTATAAAAACAAAACCATATTTTCAACAAATTATTTTCCATATCCATAATATTATTAAAATTTAAATTCTATTTTTTTATATAGATATGAATTGCACTTCCAACAGCAATCCAAATTAGATCTAGAATTTGACATGTAGATCTATAGTCTACTACCTTTTCAAGTTTATCTAAAAAAACTACCCCAAGAATAGCTGCCATATTGTAAATTCCATATCCTGAAAATATAGTCAATAATACACTACACATATCTTTACTTGTGTGCCATTGTCCTAAAAGTGGACGTATTCTGGAATTGTTTTGGTAATACTTAAGAATTCTTCTAAAAATAGCTTCATCTCCAATTACTTCTATTTTTGAATTATTATTAATTTTTAAATCATTAAAATATTGTTCACATGCTGCATTAATATTTGCATCATTATTAGGATTGTCACCTGCTTCTAATATGACAAGATGAGCCGGAGGATAATTTGATAGATTATCATTACAAAAATGATTTCTTATTTTTTCATTAAAAATTTCAACATTATAAGATGATGAATATTGAATTGAAAAATCATTATTAATATGAAAGTTAAGTAATTGTATAAAAATAGAATTGAAATTGTTATAACTTCTTTTGTTATTGGATTTTCTCCAAAAAGTTTTGTATTTTCATCTAATTGAATTTCATCATTAGAAATTGAATTAATATCAATAGGTAATTTAAATTGAAATAATAAACGTAATGTGGCATGTGAACTAGTACGTGTAGTATCATAGATATTTCCATAAGTAAATGTTTTTTCCTTGAAATCAATATTGTCAATAACACACACATTCCATATATTAGATGATTGTTGTATTCGTAATGTAGGATCAGCTAATTCCATACATTGAGTTTCAAGACATCTTTCATATCGTCTAGTAACTCTGATACACTAACTAATCTAAAAAATCATGAAGATTCGTAAATAAATGAGGTTTTCTACATAAACTAGAAATCATTCTAATAAGCCAAATTTTTGTATTTTTAAATCCAATTGTAATAATTATAGAAAAATAAAAATTACTATTTTTTGAATTTTTTTTATATTAATTTGTTGAAAGTTATTATTATTACCATTTCTACTTTTTTGTATCTGATTTTCAGCTTGTCTTTTTTTTTTGAATAAATTGAATAATACCATTTAATAAATTATAAAGTTCTACTGGTAATGCTGAACGATATTCTTCTAATGATTGAGGTTCTTCAAGTGCTTGTTTTTTTTGTAAAATTTGTTTACGATTTTTTATAAAATTAAGTCCTATTTGCAATTCTATTCTATAATACTCATCTTCTTGAAAATTATAATTAGTTTCTTTTTCTATATTTATATTATATAATTTAAAAAGAACTTTTACAAAAAGTATACTTGGAGATTTATAAATTGGAATTGTATTATTATAATTATTATTTGTAAAAGAAGATTCATTAGAAGTAGTATTTAATGATTGTTCAATAGTTATTGTTATATTTTTTAATATCTTGTTTTTTAATAATTCATTATTTGAATTAGAAAGATTAATAATCCGCTTCCCTATTAATTGTAATGCTAATATGGTATCCTTATTATGTTTACCTTGTATTTCACATTCTTGTATAACTTTTCCTCTTCCAGGTTTTACATATAAATGTTCATCATGTTTTTCATAACAGTCACAGCATAAAAATCGGGATACTTGTAATTTTGCTGAAATAGTAAATGGTTCATTAATTTGTAATGCAGGACATAATTTGTGACCAATACATGGTAAAAGCAGGTTTTTTCCTTCAATAAATATTGAATGCTCAAGACAAAATTTACCACGACTAAAAAAATAAAAATTAAGACCACAAAATCTACAACGTCTTCGATGCAAATAACTATTAATTATATTTTGTTCTTGTTTAGTACCTTTTTTATGTAGGCGATTTTGATCAAACATAAAATGTTGTTGGCATACTCCTAGATTTTCTATCTCTTTATCAGCCTCATTGACTGCATTATCATCAAGTTGCCATATTCCAATTAATTGCACTATTCCTCATAAATTTTTGGTATCACCACATCTTTGAATTTTTCCATCTATCTTATCTATCAATGCACATGAAGTTAAATGCGAACCTGCAGTTTGTGGTATTTCTATTTCATAGTCATCATCATCTATACTTTTAGTTACAATGGTTGATGCTATAGATTCAATTTCTGAATTAGTATCTTCAGTATCTTGGATATTTTCAAATTCATTTTCTTTATTAAGTAATTTTTTTGCTTTATTTATTTCAATTTCAGTAAATAAATTAATATCGTCATTATTTTCTGATATATTATCAAAAAAATCCACAATTTCTATATTTTCATTTATCTCATTTCCTTCACAATTAGACATTTTTAAATATTTTAAAACCTATCTTTTTATTTCAGCTTTTTTATTATAAAAAAAAAATCATTATACTCCTTGCTCCTTGCCTCCTTGGTAACACTATGTGCAAATATATATTTTATTTCATTAAAGATAAAAAAATTGATATAAAATTAAAAAAAAATTGAGTTAAAAATACATTTTGAAGGATTTCAAAGGTATAATTGTTAAAGTAATATATGACATAATAGACAACTTTCATTTCGAGATCCTTATAAACCAACGAAACTATTTAACTTTAAAAGTTTATAAAAGTGTTTTTAAGAACCTAATTATTATTTGAGATAAATAGAAACACAAATTATTTATGAATGTGACATGGTTACATTAGACACAAAGTCAAAAAAGGGACGAAATTTCATATGAAATCGATAAATCACGTGAACATTTCACTATATAAAAAAATTTGCTCACCGATCAGTCTAACATATCCGCTAACTGTTAAATGAAATTTAGCTGAAAAACTGCGAAACACGATTTGAAGATAATGTCTGCATATAATTCCTCGATTAATTAATGATAAACAAGAAAAATGATGTAATCCATTAGATAATAAAATTATAAAATATTTCTCAAGGAAATTATTTCCAACAGTTATAGTTTACATGGATATAATTTGTTCTTTATCAACATTAGAAATCATACAAGCAGCGGAGTTTGATGTTGTCACTGATGGTCCTTGGTTTTCTCAAGAACCACCTGATAGAGTGACTTAACGGTTCTTTTAAGAAGTTTATAGTCCTTTTCCAAAGGTAAGACTGTTGTTTCATCGTTTTAGAAGGTACCACAGATTCAATTATTTTAGAAAGGAAATCAGACCTTTCATTTAATTTATTTCAATATCTTTCCAAGTTCATCATCATTCTTAGTATTAATATCTATCCATTAATCATCTTTTAATTTCTTCAACTTTGAATATTATTTCCGATTATCCAGGTTAATTATTGTTCCAAGTTCAGGTTTATAATAATAGTTTATAATTAATTTCATTAACTCAGGAATAATAACATTATACAATTATACA